TCTAATGCACCAACCAACTTAATGATCACTTCATTTGTCGCTGCTTTTTCACCGATTTTTCCGAGCGTTCGGAATACGGTCCCTCTGACATAGTCGCTCTTATCTTCTAATGCATTAATCAGTTTCATAATCACTTCATTCGTCGCTGCTTTTTCACCTATATTTCTGAGAGCTTCGCTTGCGTGGCATTTGACCCGTTCGCTCGTATCTTCTAATACTCTAACCAGTTTAGTGATTACTTCATTCGTCGCTGCTTTTTTACCCATACTATCGAGAGCTTGGCATGCACTTGATCTGACCAACTCACTTTTGTCTTCTAATGCGCTAACTAGTTTAGTAATCACTACATTTGTCGCTGCTTTTTTACGCATATTTCTGAGAGCTTGGCATGCATGGTGTCTGACCTCTTCATTCTCATCTTCTAATGCACCAACCAACTTAGTGATCACTACATTTGTCGCTGCTTTTTCACCCATTTTTTCGAGAGCACAGTATGCAGCCTCAGTAAGAAAATCACTCTTATCGCCTAATGCACTAACAAGTTTACTGATTACTTCATTTGTCGCTGCCTTTTCACCTATATTCCCGAGAGCTTCCCATACAACGCATTTGTCCCATATACTGCCATATTCTAATGCAATAACCAGTTTAGTGATTACTTCAGTCGTCGCTGCTTTTTCACCCATACTTCTGAGAGCTTGGCATGCACTCTTTTTGACCCATATACTCTTATCTTCTATTGCACTAACCAGTTTATTAATCACTTCATTCGTTTTTGCTGTTTCACCCATGCTTCCGAGAGCTTGGCATGCACTCTCTCTGACACTGTCACTTTCATCTTCTAATGCACTAGCCAGTTTAGTGATCACTTCATTTGTCGCTGCTTTGTCACCCATGTTTCCGAGAGCTTGACATGCATGGTTTCTGACCTCTTCACTCTCATCTTCTAATGCACCAACCAACTTAGTGATCACTTCATTTGTCGCTGCTTTTTCACCTATATTCCTGAGAGCTTGACATGCATTTGATCTGGCACAGGCACTCTCATGTTCTAGTGTGTTAACCAGTTTAGTAATTATTTCACTCGTCGCCGCTTTTTTATCTATATTTCCGAGAGGTTTGCATGCATTCCTTCTGATACCGTCACAGTTATCTTCTGATTCACTAACTAGTTTAGTAATCACTACATTTGTCGCTGCTTTGTCACCCAATCTTCCGAGAGCTTGGCATGCATCGCTTCTGACCCATTCAGTATCATATTCTGGGTTTATAATCTGCATAACGCACACTTCATTTTTTGCTGATTTTTCACTCATATTCCCAAGAGCTTGGCATGCACTCTCGCTGACACTATTACTTTCATCTCCTAATGCACTAGCCAGTTTAGTGATCACTACATTTGTCGCTGCTTTGTCACCCATGTTTCCAAGAGCTTGGCATGCATGGTGTCTGACCTCTTCACTCTCATCTTCTAATGCACCAACCAACTTAGTGATCACTTCATTTGTCGCTGCTTTTTTACCGATTATTCCGAGAGCTTGGCATGCACTCTTTCTGATCATCGCGTCTTTATCATCTAGTGCGATATTCACTAAATTAATGAGTACAGTCACTAGATTTGAACTATTCATTTCAAAAACGAATGAGAGTACTGCGTGTCTGGTATTGGAATCACCATTTAGAAGTAGATGGGTAACTACATTCGTAATTCTTTGACTGCTTGTTACTGATGGTGCTTTTCTCAATGATTGTGCAAGATACGGACAAATGAATTGACCTTTTGTGGCCAAATCATACTCAATGTATTTCGCTATCCATTCCATTAATATAGTATGTTGTGGAATAGCTGATCGGCTTGATGTCTCTTCAATGCATGAAATAACGAGTTGCATATGTCTTATCCCAAGAAGATCTATCGGTGGTGTTAATATAAGTCCCCAAAACATGTTTAAACATGTGCTTGAATCAGCCTCACTGGAAAGACCGGATATAAAAGTAAACACTAATGTATAACGTTGATTATATTTTTCTCGTTGAATAAAATTGATTTCTTCTTGGTGAGTTGAAGACTCTTTGAGAGCTTTAATCAAATATCGTGCTGCAAAATATTCCTGGAAGCTGAGGTGCACAAAATAGTGATCTTTATCTGTTTCAATTTGAGTATCGGTACCTTGTTTATTGAAACTTTTGAGAATTCCCATATTGAGTATATGTGGATGATCATGTAAAGAAACTTTTTCTTCATTTAATGCTTTTCTCAGTAGATTTGGTCGTAGAATTATAGTGTTACTCTTCATTCCATTAAAGGCAAGATTTTCTAAGAATACTAATTCTTTCTCACAGCGTTGATTGACGTCGTCTTTCGATAAATTTTGAATTTTTTTATTTGGCATTGATAAATATCGTCGACATAACCATTCTATCATCGATGTATACAACGATGTTATTGTTAATTCTTTTGTTTCTATAAAATCTTCGTTACTCCAAAGACTGCATATCAACTCTAGATTCACTGGAATATGTGCAACACCCCAAATAGATCGATTTGTCTCTAAGAATCTGAATAATTTTTGACTTTTATTCGAAGAATTGTCTAGTTCACCTTTCATTTGATCAAAGAATTGCTGCACATATCGCTCAATATTTTTGTCTGTAAAACCTGTGATTTCCATTTGTACATGATAGGCTAATACATTTTGATATGGACGAGATGTTAAAATATGATGTGGAGTTTTAAGTAATTGTTCGAATAGACATTCCAAATGTGAAGGTACATTTTGTACAATTTCATCATATCCATCCAAAATCCAAAGAGTCTTTTTTGCATCAAAGCGTTTTTTCAGAAGTTTATCTTCGCTTTCAGATAGATCATATGAAAAAATCTCTTTTTTCACAAGATCAATCAAAGAATAGTTTTGACCAACTGGTGAAGGAGGATATCGATTAGTTGTCAAGCGACGTAATGGAATCAAAGCTAATAACTCATACTGTGTCCAAAATGAACCCATCGCCCATTGATGAGCAATATATCGACAAAATGTGGATTTTC